AAGCGAGGGGAGAGGAGGTTTGGAAAAGGAGGGGGGTTGGAGGTAAGGTTAGGAGGGTGGATGGGGAGCAGTGAGGTGGAGTTGAGGGGGAGGAGGGAAGGGGGTAAAGAGGAGGTAAGGAGGAAGGTAGTTGAGGTAGGGAGGATAAGGAAAGATAAAGGAAGTGAGGAGAGGAGGAAGGGGGAGAGGTAGGAGTAAGCAGGCGAGGATGGAGGAGGTAGGAGTTGAGAAGGAGGGGCCGAAGACCCTCCCCCTCCCACCTTCTGGCGAGGTGGTTGGAACAGAGGCCCATCAGCACCAGTGCCAGCGCCGGAGGCCAGCGCCGCCCCGCGCGGCGCGCGGGCGGCGGCCCGCCCGCGGCGCTGGCGGCCGGGCACATGGCGAGCGCCGGCGCTGCGCGGCGCGCCGCGGGGCCGCGGGCCCGGTCTGCCCTTGGCGGCGACTGCTCCTCTCTCCTCCCCCTACTCCTCCTCTCCTCTCCTCCTCCTCCTCCTCTCTCCTCCCCTCCCTCACCTCCTCCACCTCTCACTCTTCCCTCCTCTCTCCTCCTCTCTCCTCCTCCTTAACAACCTCCCCTCTTCTCCACCTCCCCTTCTCCACCTCCCCTTCTCCTCCTCGTCGTCCTCCTCCTCCTCGTCCTCCTCCTCCTCCTCGTCCTCCTTTTCCTCTTCCTGCTCGCTCCCCCTCCCCTCCTTCGCCTCTTCCTCGCTACTCCTGGTTTCCCCCGAGATCCTGGCGGCGCGCGCGCCGGCGCTCGCGCGCGCTTGGGCGCCGGGCCCGACTCACCAAGGTCGGGATTGACCCGGGTCAATAGATCCCCGAAAAATTGGTACGGAAAGAATGGATTTACGGTGCCCTCAGCGCTCCCTGTCCTTTTGAAGAGGACTCGCCGTCCCCTGAGATCCTGGCGACTCCATTTTTTCGAGCTGGGCGTTTTCGCTCCATTTCGGGCCTCTGGACCTTCACACAGCGATCCGGCTCGAAAATGGGGTCCAGGGGCCCGGTGGACAACGGTGAGCACAAGGCTCCCCCCCCCCGATTTCCACGGGGAGCAGGGTTCGAACCGGGGCGGGCCCCCCTGCATCTGACGACGGCGAAAGCTTTTCCGTCGGCGCCGGCGCCGACGCCGTCGCCGGCGACGTTGGGCAGCGGTGACGACAACGACGACGACGACGACGACGACGACGACGACGACGACGGCGTTGCGGCGGGTGTTGCGCAGCGGGGCGGGGGGGGCGTTGCGCAGGGGGGGCGACGACGACGACGACGACGACGACGACGACGACGGCGACGGCGACGGCGACGGCGACGACGGCGACGGCGACGGCGACGGCGACGGCGGCGACGGCGACGGCGACGGCGGCGACGGCGACGGCGACGCAGAAAGATGGGGTCAAGGGGGTCTGGCGGCGGACGCCGTGTTGAGGTTGAGCAGTGTGGGGGCGGGGGCGATGAGCTTGAGTCGGGCATGTGCCTCTACACCCTGACAATCCAGAGTGCTAACAAACAGCACTCTGGACCTGGAGACCTATCTGGACTGCTGGAAGCCTCGACTGGCAATGGGGTACTCGAGTCCAGGTGCTATCTTGAAGCCCTCCTGGAAGGTCAGGGCAGGAGGAAGATTCGAGAATAGTCTGGGGGTTCGGTCGTGACTCTTGCGATGCTGCAGTTTCTGGCAACGCCGGATCTCAGGGCCGGAGGGCTGGGGCAGGAGGGGCCAGACCTCCGACAACGTGGAGAGTTCCAACCTTGCCGTCGCGCATGTCCCTCTGCAGGAGTAGTCAAGAGTAGTAGAGGCCCCTTCGACTACTTGGAGGTCGGGCAAGTCCTCCTACAGGCAGACTTTGAAAGAACAATAAAACAAGTAAACAAAATAATAAAAGCATGACAAATCGTCCACTAACTAATGTTTACCATTCTGGAATATCCCTCATGTAGAGCGACATGCCCGAATTAAGACTATGCTTGACTATCTTTGATGTTGTTTTTCCAGGCTCCGCCTGTAGCAAGATATGCCGCCGTGCCCGACCTGATGCCCAACCAGCGGCCTCTCCCCGACTTGGGCCTTACACTGGCCATCTCTCGGACGTCCACTCCCTGTGCTTTTGTCGGGTTCGTGCGTGGTTTTTTTTTCGCCAAATGATCAAGGATGCTCCTCGATGGTCCTCGCCGAAGGAAAGAGGCACACGTCCGAGCGATGCCAAGTATAGGGGGCCACCGTCGGGCATGTCAGAGCCCCCGGGGCCTCGGAGATGCCCCCGACGTCGTGCCTCCTTCATGGCGGGGGCCCCCGCAGGTCTGCACCGTGGGAGCCCGACCACAAGAAGCCTTCCACGAGAGGCCCAGCCCTGAGACCCCAAGACGTCTGTGGGTTTCTGGTGCGGGAGTGGGGCCTGGAAACGACAAGGCCGTTTCTTTACCGGTTCCGTTTTGCCGTTTTTTTGCCGGTTCCGACGCCGTTTTCTTACCGGTTCCGTCGCCGTTGTTTGACCGGTTCCGGCTCCGGTTCCAATCCTGGAGCCGGTTCCAGTCGCCGTTTTTGTTGCCGCTTCCATTTTCAAGGGACATTTTTTTTGGGAAACGGCGGAAAAATGGCCCTGCCGTTTCCGGGGCCCACAAAAGGGGAGCGTCGCGCTGTCCATCGCAGAACCATCGGAACCCAAGAAACCCGGGGCACCCTGGAGGCGAGCAGGGTGCTTCTCGGCACGGGCCTCCACTGTGCCATTCCCCGGGGCCGGCGTTTCATCGTGAGTCGTTGCTTCTGACGGCCCCGAGGCCCCGGCCAGAGCCCCCAAGGGCTGGAAATAGGGAAAAACCTCCTGCCATGCTTTGATCGTGACCCGAGGGGGTCTGGGGCCGCGGGGATGCTGAATCTCGCGGATGCGAAGGCCGCCTTGCCCGGCTCGTAAACATCCGCCGGCCCTGTCGGCGTGTGCGAGACGCTGCGTCGTTTGACTCGCTTTCGTCGTCGTCGTCGCCGCTCCGCTACGAATTCCGTGGGCCCTCCTCCTCAAGCGCGCCAGTCAAAGCGAAATTGAGCACTGCCGTACGGTCAACAACTATGACAAGGTCGCACGATGAGGATGCAGGGGCCTTGGAAAACGAAGTCGACCCTGTGCGAGCGGGGTGCGGCCAGCGAAAGCGGCCAAGGATGGACCGAAGAGACAAGGATGCGAGGGTACCCTCGAGAAGGTGGCCCATCATTACTATGCGGGTTGACTGTAAGGGGGTCGAAGGGCGGCAGTAGAGGCCTCTTAGATGGGGTCCGAGTAGATGGGGCCGGAGGATCACGCCGCATCGCCTATGCATCACCGATACGTCGACGATGCATCGACGATGCATCGGCACCATCGGCGATGCGTCGGCGACCTCGGCGTGGAGTAGATTGGGCTCCACATCCAGCCGCATCGCCGATGCCTCGGCGATGCGGCGCGATCCTCCGACCCCACCTGCTCGGACCCCATCTTTGCCGTCGCTCGGACGTCCATTTCCTGTGCAGTTTTCGGTTTCGTGCGTGTCTTGTTTTTTTCGCTCGATGGTCCAGGATGGTCCTCGATGGTTCTCGACGAGAAACAACGCACACGCCCGAGCGATGCCAAGCAGCTGGGAGGCCTGGAGGCGGGCCGCCTGCCTCCCGAGTGCAGCGGCGGGAGCTGCCGGCAGGCCGTGGGGCCCCCGTGCGGCGGAGCGCGCGGCCGCGCTGGCCAAAAGGCCTACACATCGGGAGCGGCACCACGACATCTGGGACAATAGCATGGCCCACGCCAGGATCTCCCCCCCCGCCCCTAGTCATCCCCCCCCCCCCTCTGCCATCGCTCGGACGTCCATTCCCCGTGTTTTTGTTCGGTCTCGAGCGTGGTTTTCTCGCCACTTGAGCAAGGATGCTCCTCGACAGTCCTCGCCGACAACAAAAAATGCACACGTCCGAGCGATGCCAGGCCCCTCTTTGCCGCCCCCGACTACATCTAGACAACTCCACGGCTGCTCCCGGGCAGGCGCCGCTGCCCGGCGAAGGGGGGGAGGCAGCAGGAAGCGGCGGGCCTGCCTCCTCGGAAGGCTCGGGCGTCCCCCGCCACGTCTGCCTCGCGTTCGCCTGTTTGGGGCGCTCCTGGGAGGCCCTCGTCGCCGCCGCGGGATTCGCCTCGAGGCCCTGGTCCGAACGGGCCCCCGGGAGAGGTCCGGGGAGCAGCAGTACCGCTACCTGTGGGTATCCCCAGGTCGGTCAGTCGGCGGCGAGCCCAGGGGCAGGCCTTCTCAGAAGACTCGGAAGCCCCCAGTCTTCTGAGGAGTTGTCGAAGCCCGAAGACGCAGACAACTACTCAGAGGGCGCGAGGGCTTCTGAGACGTCCAATCCGCCTTCTGAGAAGTCCCCCTGCTTTTCTCACTGCCCCCCCCTGGCTCGCGGCCGAGCAATCGGAAATCGGCGCTTTCCCATCGACTACCTTCGGGCCGGGCGAAAGGGGGGGATAACAAAGGGGGGGGGTGAGAATCAGCTCACGTAGCTGATTTTCCCGGCGCCTCCCGGCGGCCATGCATCGAAGAATGGGCCCCTCGCTGGGGCCGAACCCCCCCCCTTCCCTATCTCCCCCTTTCCCTATCTCCCCCCCCCCTTCCCTATCTCCCACTTTCGTAACCTCCCCTTCCCTATCTCCCCCTTCCCTATCTCCCCCTTCCCTATCTCCCCCTTCCCTATCCCCCCTTTCGTCTGGCCCGCTACCCAGTGCACGCTGAAGCGACGGCATCTCGGGGGCAGGCAGGGCTCCCAGGGATGCCGTCGGCTCCCCTCCCAAGTGAAGGGGCTCTGGGACACACAAATAAAACACACACACACAAACAACAGGATTCCCTATCTTTTCTCATAGCTTCTGGGTGTTTGTCTTCCCCCCCACTTCCCATACTTTCTTGTATTTTTCTTGGGGATCGACGCTTCATTGTGTCTGTGTGTTTCGATCGCTCCCTCCTGCCAGAGCCCCGGCCGGCGGCCGAGGGCCGCGGGGAGCCTAGCAGGCGCCCGAGCAGCTCGAAGTCGCCCTGCCACGCGGCGTTGAGGAAGGGCGCGGCGGGGTCGGGGAGGAAGCTCGCACCTCGGGTGGCGGAGGCTGGGCTGCTCGCCGCGCTGGGGGGGCGCTTTTCGCTCCACCGTGTTCCACTGTTCGTTTTTTTTGGTTAGTTGTTTTTATTGTTTCATTTTTATATCATGTTCCACGAGTGTGATTTGACAAGGTAGATTAGCCAGCAGTCATATGAACGACTGCGCCTGCCAACAGACGTAGGCCGTTCGAGGGTTCTGGGGAAAGCTCGTGCGTCGCGCCCCGCGACACAACAAGCCGCCATTGAATCACGAATTGGCAAACAAAAAGCATCCCACGCACGCGCACAAGTGCTACACCACCGTGTTCAACTGTTCGGCCTTCGCCCGACGAGAACGGAACAGCGACGGCAGCACACAACACATAGGACAGCACTCAGCGAACAAAGAGCGGGACTGCACCGAAAACGGCGCGAACGAGAATCCCAAACCGAAACAAGAACTGACCCCCCAGACTGGAAGAAGCCGTCCATCTTGAAAACGGAGCACATCGGCAGCAAGCCCGGGGGGAAGTGAGAAGGATCGGGTCTCCTCAGAAGGCTCGAAGTCCCCGGGCCTTCTGACAAATTGCCTGATCCTTCCCCGAAGACATAGAACATCCGTCAGGAGGCGAGGCCTTCTGAGAAGCCCCGCCGCCTCCTGAGAAGGCCTTCTCCTTCTCCCTCCCGCCCCCTTGCTCGCCGCCGAGAAAACAACACGCCCTCCCTCCTCCTCAGCCTCATCCACTACGTCGATCACCCCCCGCAGCACCCCCCCCCCCCCCGCCCCCCCCCACACCCGCCCCACCCTCCGCCCCCCGCCCCACTTTCGCCGCCCCCCCTCATCTCCCACCCCCCAGTTCCCTCAACCCCCCACCCGTTGGACGCCCGACATGGGTACGGAAAAAAATGGGTACAATGCCCAACAACAAATGCTGTCCCAAACCATCAGCGGCCGCTGTTGGGCAGGCGGCCTCCTGTCTCGAATGGACACAGGCCGCGGCGGCGTGGACAGCGAGTCCTGTTCAAAACGAACAGGAACTGCTGTTGGGCATTGTACCCATTCTTTCCGTACGCATTTCGGGCGTCAAGAATCCCCACCCTCCACTTCCACTCCCCACCCCCCGCGCCCCCACGCACCCACGCACGCGCACGCCCCCCCCCCAGCGCTGCAACCTCCTCCTGAGGCGGGAGCGGCCGCGCCCACGAGTCGGAGGCGGCCCGCAGATCGCGCAGGAGGGCCACAGATCGAGCCGACTGCTGAGTCCCACCCGTCGGGGGCGGCCGAGAGGGGGGCGTCCAAGAGGGGGGAGCGCAAATCTGGAGGGGCCCTGGGACGCACAAATGAACACATACACAAATGGCATGATTCCCCATTTTGTTTGCATCTTTTCTGTGCTTTTGTCTTCCCCCCCACTTCCCATATGTTCCTATATTTTCTGTGGAATCGACGATCAATTGTGTCTGTGTGTTTTTCCCTCCTGCAAATCATGACCGGCGGTGTGTGCGCGGCCCAGGGGGAGGGGGGGGGGGCCGGGTACGTATGGGATAAGAAGAGGCGCCATGAAATCTGGGGAGATCTCATGACCCCGGCCATGACATCCACCCCCACCTAGACAGTCCCCCCCCCCTCCTTGCCGCCCCCGACCTCTTCCCGATCCCCGGACCACCGACGTCACGATTGTTGGAACAACGTCGACCACCAGAGGTCTCGGCCCATTCCCCGGGACCGTTGTTTCCCTCCTGGAGGAGGAGGATGAGGGGGTGACCACGGACGTCGCGACAGGAGGGGGAGGAGGAGGAGGAGGAGGAGGAGGAGGAGGAGGAGGAGGAGGAGGAGGAGGAGGAGGAGGACGACGAGGCCCAGCCCCCAGAGGCCGAACGTGGCGAAACACCGCCCGCCGATGCTTTCCTCACTCGAGGGGGTCTGGGTCCTCCTCCTGGCCGCCCTCGGACCCAAGGAGAGCCGCCCAGTGGCGAGGTGCTTCCGCGAGCCCCACGCGGGACAGCCTCACACGGCGCTGGCCCGCGTACCTTGCCATCGCTCAGACGCCCCTTCCCCGTGCATTGTTCGGTCTGGTGCGCGTTTTTGTTTGTTATTGTTATCGTGTTATTGTTCATCGGTGTCGTGCGCGTTCTCGGTTGTGGCTGCTGCAGTGGTTGTTATTGTTATTGTTGTTGATGTGTTTGCTGCTGCCCCTGGGGGCGAGCAGGGTGCTTCTTGGCATGGGCCTCCACTGCATCGAGCCCCGAGATTCGTGCCACCTCGGCGCCGGCCGTGCCGCCTGCGAGAGGGGAACGCTGCCTCGCAGGAACGGCGGGGGGGCGTCCTTCTGGCCGCGGCGAGGCTCCCGCCGCGAGGCGGCCCCACGACCCGGATATGTCCCGGGGAGGGGAGCGGCGGGGGGCTTCTTTCTGGCCGCGGCGAGCCCTCCGCAGCGAGGCGGCCCCACGACCCGGATACATCCCGGGGAGGGGAGCGGCGGGGGGCTTCTTTCTGGCCGCGGCGAGCCCCAGGAGCGAGAAGGCGCCACGACCCGGACATCCCGGGGAGGGGAGCGGCGGGGGGCGTCTCTCTGGCCTTCGGCGAGCCTCGGCCGCGAGGAGGCTCCACGACCCGGATATATCCCAGGGAGAGGAGCGGCGGGAGGCCTTCGGCGAGCCCGGGCCGCGAGGAGGCTCCACGACCAAGACTGAAGGAGCCCTGGGACACACACACACACACACACACACACACACACACACACACACAAATCAATACACACAAATAAACGGATTCCCCAGATGTTCCTATATCTTCTGGGCTTCTGTCTTCCCCCCCACTGCCCATGGTTTCCCAGATTTTCTGGGGAAAACGACGATTACTTGTGCCTGTGTGTTTTTCTCCTCCCAAAAGATCCAGAGGGAGAGGCCCCTCAAACCAGAGCCTCTCCCGAGTCCAGGGCGGTCCTTGCCTCGGCGCCCTGCACAGCAGGCGGGGCGTGGGGCGAGGCGGCGCCCCCGAGGCAGGGGTCGCGGCCTCGTCCGAGCCCGCGGGCTGGCACGAATCGAGCCATCAGACACCTGGACCTCCCCAGGCATCCGAGGTTGTTCAAGGGGCCCAAGGACACACAAATAAATACACACAAATAATATGATTCCCAATATTTTCCCACATTTTTTTGTGTTTTTGTCTTCCCGCCCAATTCCCATATTTTCCCATATTTCCCTGGGAGTCGACGAATAATTGTGTCTGTGTGTTTTTTTCCCCTCCTGAGTTGTGATGCTCTCCATATGCGCCACGTGGACCCCCCAGAGGCCTCGCCCCCTTCTCCGAGATCGGCTCGTCGTCCTGGGCCGTCGTTTGACAGCCAAGGGGCTCGGTAGGGGCCCTGGGAAGCCGAAAGCAGCTCCGAAAGACCTTCCCGCAGTTTTTGTTCCAAAGGCCTACGAGAGGCCCCTGCGCGACCACAAGGGATCCCCTCAAAAAGCCTTCGAGGGGCGCCCCAGGAGAGCCCGACATGCATCCAAGATGCTTCTGGCCCACGACCCAAGCGTGGTGGCGGGATGGGACGAACACCGCCAGATCCGCTGCCCCCTCTTTATCACAAGGGTGCTTGACGTGCTGGAGAATTTACGCTTGAACCCTACCGAAAATTTGCCAGCGGCCTTTGGCTCATCCCGCCGGCCACCCGAAAAAGACCTGGACGAGAGGGCTTCCAATGCCCAGACAGCCAAAAGGACCCAAGATAATCTGCACGACGGTCTCAATATGCGTCCAAAGCGACTAAGATGCCTTGAGTGGATCCGAGATGGCACAGAGATGCCTCCAAGACGGTCCGAGACTGCCCGAAGGGCTCGAAGATGCCCAAATCATTGCTTTTCCCAACGCAGTGCTTGCTCTCAGGGGGTTCTTACCTTCTTCAAGAGGCTTCGAGAGCGGCCAAGAGGGGGGCGTCTGAGAGGGGGGGGGGCGGAAGTCATGGCCGGCGGCACGTCCGCGGCCTAGGGGGGGGGGGCCAGGGACGTAATTCGGGGATGGACAGAACCCCCTTTAGTAAAACGTGGTTTAGTGAAAACGACCTGAGGCCCAAACCTGGCGGGCGCAAGCCTGGAAAATAACGGCCCCGGCGCCCTCTCGAGAACCGAAAACGGACAATTCACTAATCGACGTGTCACTGTTGGGGGTTCTGTCCGCCCCCGAGTAATGGAATAAGAAGAGGCGCCATGAAATCTGAGGACCACGCCATCAGATCCCCCCCCCTGGTCATCGTCCCCCTCGCTGCCGCCCCTGGGAGACTGGGTCTGGCCGCCGCCCAGGCTGGCTTGCTGTCGCCGTCGCCGCCCCGTCGCCGCTCCTCGCCGCCCGTCGCTGCCTCGTCTGGGCGTGGCTGCCGCTCCGGCCGGCTTGTTGCCGCCGTCGCCGCCCCGTCGCCGCTCGTACCCCATAGGTTGCTCAACATGTACGGCGGAGGCTAGTCCACAAGAGACCTTCTACAAGACACCCAATCTTGAAACCCGAGGACGTCCATGGAGCTTAGGTGTTGGAGCGTCACGCCTTCAATCGCAAAACCATCGAACTCCAAGAAACCCAGGGCACCCTGGAGGCAAGCTGGGCGTTCTTTTGGCATGGGTCTCCGATATATTGGACCATGTAGTTCACACCACATAGATAATCCTTTTTTCTAAAATCAAGGAATTCGGATACACCGCCACACCCTACACAAGGAATATCGCCCCCTCCACACTCTGGGAACGTGCAGTTTACACCCGTTGAGCCCCATCGCTGTCGAGATACGAAATCGTATTATCCCAGCCAAGCTGGATTCGAACCCGTACCATACCATCCTCTGCAGAATACACGATGCGCGCGCACTCGATTATCACACATCATCTATATGCAACAAATCCTTGCACAACAAAGGGGGGACATGTACACGTGTGCGTGTTTGCGCGCGCATGCAGAAATACTTGAACACCTAACGTGTTGCAAAGCATTCCGAACCGACGGCCCCGAAACAAACTAAAAAACACAGTT